TACTTACAGAGTAAAATGATAAATTGTAGGCAGGTTAGAAACTAATGTTCTTTCTCAGAAATGGTGTGACTACCGTCTGAAGTGGAACAGCTCCCTGTATGATGACTTCAAGCTCCTGCGTGTCCCCTCCAAAAGCATCTGGCTCCCTGACATTGTGCTGGAGAACAAGTGAGTGCATATAGAGACGTTCATCACAGTGCTTGCTAGAGAGATGCAATTGTTGTTGTTTTTTCCCATGTTATGAACATTACTTGTATAAAACCGGAATACTGTGAGACAATAATACACTAGATGAACTACAGTACACTACAGTATAATGGAGCGCTCTCAGGTTCACGTGGGTACACGCCCACACTGCTGTCGCATCAGGTTGGCCCCCCCACTGCTGGGGACTCGAACCCGGGCCTCTGGCACCACTCAACGGGGACCCAGCCAGCTGAGCTAAAGGGAAATCTCCCCTCAGCCCGGCGGCTGCGGTCCCTGCTATTCACAGGGAAGGGTGGTGACGTCACCGCGCTGGTTAGCCCGCTCGCACAACCTGCAATGGCGGTCATTTGCGTTACACTGACAAATTCAGCTTTTACAATGAGAGTCATTCAAAGTTTTCTTCAAAAGAGTCTAAAACTAAGGAGAAGAAAACACATTACAACAAAGGCATCACCAGACATCAAATCACTATAAATCCCCAAAATGACACATTATTTTCTAATTCTATTCTAATATTACGTATCTTTATATTTCAGTGCATATGAGAAGTAGGGGCACATTTTGAAAGGGTTTCTAATCCTGTTAAAATCAGACTATTTGCACTGTTCAAAATCAGTGGGTGCTATCTTTATAATCCTCTTTTTTTAAGGACTCTTCTCCCTTCCAAATATTGTTTCTAATATTAAGGATGATGGTGTTAATGTGAAACAAAGAAGTCCAATTTTAAATTACTCTACTAAACCTTTGCAACATAAACATAACATGTACACTGAGTGAATCTTACCAAGTTGTTGTCTTTGTGTTTGACAGCGTGGATGGTAAATTTGAGATCACTCTCTATACCAACGCCCTGGTTTATTCCTCTGGTTGCATTTATTGGCTGCCCCCAGCTATCTACCGCAGTGCCTGCTCCATCAAGGTCACCTACTTCCCCTTTGACTGGCAGAACTGCTCCATGGTTTTTCGGTCAGTCTCTGCCTCCTGTTTCATTATAAGTCATAATGGAAATTGGTCACGTGTCTAGATTTTAGCCATTGTTCTCTGCATAAGGTTTTTAAGAAACAAAGATGAAAAATAATTCCAATAATTTCAACATTTATCAGTTTTTTTCTTTCAGCATTTTAACTTTGATTTTTGCTTTTTCTTTCGACATTGCCTTCACCGTTCCAGCTCACAAACCTATAGTGCCAATGAGATTGACCTTGTCCTGACAACTGAAGATGATCAGACCATTGAGTGGATTGTGATTGATCCTGAGGCTTTCACAGGTACTGTAAAAGCAACTGCACATCAGCAGTCCTCAGTGTTCTGATGGGTCACGTTAGTCTGATTGCATTTACAGAGCACTCCTCACCAACAGACATACCTGAGGACTTTGAAACATTCATGAAATGATCCTATATGAGAAAACTGGGAATCCAGTCAAAGGAAATATATCTTTCATACAAACAGCCTGTGGTTGCTAGTAGCATTCTCACTCTTCAGCCTACCCCACGAGACTGGGATGCTTTTCCGTCAGGCTACTGTAGCTGTCTGTCAATCAGGCAGACAATCTGCAACACAAGCCACCAGCTGATACTCCTATTTGGCATTCCTATCAGGCTTGATTCTCCACTAGACTGGTGCTCTGACATTGGAGCTTCTGTGTGCCATCTAGCAAGCAGCTCTTTGCTCGTCATCCAAGCTAAATGCACAGCTAAATCCAAGTGTCAACACCTGTCCGATACCGGTCCAGTAGAAACGCTTAGCTGTCTGATTCCTCAGGTAGCTCTCGTCTGCACAACTCGGCAGCCTGATTCACAGGGCAGCCAGTATCCCAACACCGTCCTATTTCCTCGGGGCAGCCTGTGTCCTACTTTCTAGCCTGCCTGATTCCCTGGGCAGCTTTTGTATCCACAAACCAGCAGCATAAATCCCGCGGCTGCCTGCTTCCACATACCCCTGCAGCCTGATCCCTTGTGCAGCCCTCACTACAACATTTTGCCTGCCTGCTTTTCTGCCCACCTAGCCTGCTCTGTTGTAGCTCTGCCCTGTAGCCTGGGGTT